GTTTCGGTGGAGGGTGATTGGCGGTGGGTGGATTGCTCCACCCCCTCACCATGGACCCTTTCCAACTGGGGCGAGGGCCAGCCCAACAACCTTAACGGCAACCAGCACTGTGGACAGATTCTGAATGACGGCAAATACAATGACTGGCAGTGTGACCGCACCATGCAGTTCATTTGTGAAATTAGCCCCAAACGTGAGAGAGTTCCTTCCATAAATCACTGAAAATGCTTCCAGACCAGCAGATTTAGTTCATTAATTAGCAGTGAAACAGCTTGATTTTAGGTAGAGTCCAACACACTCCTAAGGTGAAATCATTCACTCTAGAACGACTTGCATAATTTCAGTTGTTTGGTCTGTCAACTGCAGCCTTTGATCCAAGTGACGGCAACCCATCCCGCCTTCGAGTTTTTGAGGATACCCCCAACAGCGTCTTAGTTCAGTGGCGCCCCTCCTTGGTGTCCTGCGATGTGATTGGCTACCGCATTGCCTACAATGATCCCATAGTTACAAACTTCAAAGAGGTTCAGGGAGGCAATATTTCCAGTGTGGTTGTCACGGGACTGCAAGACGGCTCTACCTACTTCTTTTCCATTGCTGGGTTCACCCAAGAGCAGTTACTGCCATACAGCGATCGAGTGTCTATTGTCACACCACCTTTAGATGGTATGATTTTATAATTTTCCCCTTACTGACACAAGGATTTGGCTCTTTGTGATGTTACTGGGAGAAGACTACAAATTGGATTAGTGTATTTTTGGAAGGGAAATGCCACTGGCAAGTTTTAACTCACAACCTCCAGCAAATGCGAGGTTTGAAGCTAAAGGGTTTTTCCATTCAAACAACCTTGTGAAACTTTGTCTCACTGGTTTTTGGGAAATGAGTTCATTAAAATAAATTTTGCTGTTATCCAGAGGCATCACCACAGAACATGCATATACTCGCCTTATAATTGTTCAATCCAATTCCACCGACATTTTGGTTTTGTTTCATCTTTGTCTTGAAACTCCTCAAGGACTCATTATTTTGATAAACAAGTTTAAAGCTGCACAAACATCACATCTAGATCTCGGTTCAAAGACAGAATCTTTGGCACAAGAGAGAAGTGTGGCTTAAATTTATTTTAAATTCCTGGGAACTTAAATCTGAGGGATTGTTTGGGGGGGGGTTGCATTTTTGGATTAACAGTTTGTTGCATAAATCCTGTGGCACGGCTGAAGTTAGGCTCTGTTGGGAGGAAATGAGTTTTAGTGACCAATTCGAATCTTTGTGTATTTACAGACCTCTGTGAAGATGGTTGGGAGCCAGGATTAGACTACAAATGCTACAAGTTTGGCCTCCTACAGAAGACATGGGAGGAAGCAAGAGCTGACTGTCAGAAGGTCACTGATGGTGACCTGGTCATCGTGGAAACGCAGGAAGAACACAGCTATCTGGTCAACCGAACGTTAGGTGGTGACTGGTGGATTGGTGAGTTCACCTGTGGATGTCAATCAGTTGATTGCATGCACTTGACAGTTGATATAGAATTGTAAGTATCATTGGTACTTTTTTATTTTACCATTGAGAGCCATTTGAGTCCATGAAAATTAATTCTCGCTGGGCCGTACCTTTCTCCATCCTTCAAAAATCCTCCAAATTCTCTTGATGGATTTTGAAAGACCCAGGAGCATCTAAAATCCAACTTGAAAGGCAGTTGTGTTGGGAAGCCCCTTCACATTTCTTTTACGTATGTAATGTGTTGGTTTCCAGGATTTTATGACCAGGGCACGGAAGGTGATTGGCGCTGGGTCGACTGCCAGGTGCAAGGGACCTGGCCCAGTACCAACTGGGGCAACAACCAGCCCAATGATCTGGATGGAAGCCAAGACTGTGGACAGATGCTGCAGACAGGCCTGTGGAATGACTGGAACTGTGAACGGCCAATGCAGTACATATGTGAGATCAACCCAAAAGGTGGGTTTGAAGGACAGCAAAATATTGAGTATCTGCTCATTTGCTCTAAACACTAAGTGAGACAGTGGAGTTTATTGTACTCTGATGAGGTTCTTTATTCCTTCAAAGTCAACTTAAGCTCAGTTTCTTTGAGATTTTATCCAAGTTTACACTTATACAAGTCCAGCAAAACAAAACTGGGTTTTAAATCACCCATGAACCGTCTAAAATCTTACATTTTCCTGGTTTTTCTGGTTGCCGCTCTCCAGGCTTTTCATCTGAAGATCAGGGACCCACCCTCTTCAGGGGCGTGGCCATTGACCCCACCACCATCCAGCTGGCCTGGAGACCCTCCCAGTACAACTGCGAGGTCCTGGGTTACCGTATTGTGTACGAAGAGGAGAATGTTGGCAAGACGTTGATAGTAGAGGGTGGTGCCACCAGCTCTGTCTTGCTGAAGAGCCTCAGCCCGGGGGCTGTGTATGTCTTCTTCATTGGTGCATTCACCAAAGATGAGGAACTAGATCTAGAGGGCAGATCAGTTCGGATACAGCTGCCGCAAGGTACGACAGCAACATTTTTCTTTTACATTATTTTCCTTTATTGTGCTGATTATCTCTGTCTTATGGTGCTTTGATCAAGTTAGACACCGAGACCTATCCATGAAGATCTAGCATTTCCAACAGGCAGTGCCCTCCCCCCTAGTAATTCCTGCCTCCATGCAAAAGTCTTTTAACCACGGCTTAGAATGACACTTACCATTATGGAAGCCCCTTGGTCGTGGCTGCATCCATTCCCCATGTACTTGTATGTGACAGCGAGTCACAGCTGAGTCTTGAAGAGGCAGTCACTCCCATCATTCAGCTTCATTCTTTCCTTTGTGAATACCAGCGATGCACTTAACTGATACGTGAATGACTGTGTGCAGTACACCACCATCACCGTTTAGAAGCATCCTAGCGCTGTACCATCAACAAGCTTACGTAGTATTTACTTCGTAAAGCCCGAAAGAATGCGAAAGCTGTACCATGCGACATTGCTTCCTGTCACTTTATAGCAAACTGAAACAATCTCACACCGTCAAAATTCTGAAATGAGTAGATATTGCACAGGAGCAGCCTCAGAAAACTGTAACATATAATAGGATGTTTTTATGGAGAAAAATTTGTGGAAAATGTTTCTCAGTTAGGTCTGACATCGATGACTTGGAATTCAGAGTCGTACTCGGTGCATAGGAGTTTTAGTTAGTTCAAAGTTTTAGAAATTAAAGGCAAATAATCTGATTGTTTGTCTCGGTCTTGTCTCCCGTCCTGTAACTAGGTGGTGTTTGTGGCAAGAGAGACTTGACAGCTTCAAGCGGCACGATAGCATCCCCTAACTATCCGAGTGCTTATCCAGCCAACCAGGACTGCATCTTCACTGTCTCACTGCCGGACAGTGGAGCGTCTATTCTGATTGAGTTCACAGCCTTTGACTTGGAAAAGGGGTAAGAAATTCTTGTGTTTGTCAGCTCTCAAGCAATTTAAGCGAACAGGTGTGAGACCTGTGGCCACAACTCAACAACAGTTGATGTGGTCCTAAGAGTAATTGGTTTTCCTCTCCGTATTGCATCCTTTTTTCCACCACTGTGCAAGGTGAATTAGGGGTATGGTTTAGTACTGGATTCATTCTGCCCACGCACGTGTGGCTTTTTCTCCCTGCACATAAATCCACCGTACTTCAAAAGGTCGATCTAACTCCCCATCATTTAGTCAACATTTTATCACAATTGTGGTTCAAAACCGAATGAGATACTACCTGTATTGTCTTGCAGCCATGACTTTTTGATGATGGGCCCAGGCCTCTCTCCAGACATGGACACGCAGTACTCCTTGACGGGCAGTGAATTGCCCCAAATGGCCATGATTGAATCCAGTCGGGCCTGGATTCGATTTTTCTCAGACGAATCCAACCAGAGGTTAGGATTCTCTCTCATGTACTCCACTGCCAAAGGTAAAAACAGCTTTGAATGTTCTGTGGTCCATACCGTTTTGCACATGGTTTCATTTCACATCTTTTGGACCCTGGAACCCACAGCTAGAGGCTCAAATTACCAGAGACAGTTATTTTGCTTTTCCAGGATGCAATTTCTTTGATATTATAGGAAGTGTTGATTTATCCATTTGGGAAAGCAAATTTATTGAATCATAATTTGATAGATGTTATTAATTGGCAGTAGGAAATGCATTACTTTTTTAAAGTAAACTGTAGAAACATTCACATGGGACATGTCATCAGCTATGCCTCTGTGTTAGTTTGATGTCGTAATTTTTGATGTTTTGGAAAGCATAGCATCCCGGCATGTTCATGCATTGGGATTGCTTGCATGAAATGCTATAGTGTATCCTCATCCAAGGGAGATGGGGGCCAATGGAGGCCATCCCCCCCATAAAAAGAACAAAAATGTATTCTGAAAAATGGAAAGAGAAAAGTGAGTTTCAAAGTGGATTTCCTTCCCCTTCCTTCCAAAAGTGTGTTACAGCACAAAAAGGTAGCGCCAATGTAACCAAGCGGTGTGGAGTCCAAAATACTAAAAATGAACGGTGGGGGGTGGGTGGGTGGGTGCATGTTCCAACGAGATTTGTCCTGGATTGTAGCACTACTAAATGTTGCTGTAAAAAGAAACATGCATCATGGACTTGCGGTGCAAGGCTTGTCAAAACGACCTTGATTAAAGGTGCTTTTACCTGACCCACTATCCTACGGTGGCCTTGCAGATTGCAAATTTTTATATTTGTATTAAATATTCCTTCAGTGGCATTTGGATTTTCATAACTGAGCATATCTTGTGCTGCATGTAATTTGTAATTTACTTTTTGTACATTTCACACAATCCTTTTGTTTTTATTTTGTCATCTCAGCTCTAGCTTCTTTTTGATTCCTTTTTAGTATTTTTGACTGCACACTGCTTGTTTATATCAACCGTCAGAAAGGCTATAAAAATTACATAAATATTTCCAAACTTTTGGCTCTCCAAAAAACAAATGTTGGTTCCACCGAAATTTGGTCTGAATCCACCCTCATCAGCTTCATCCTGAAATGTTCATTGGGATGAATTTCCTTTAATACTGTCAGTGTTTAGATGGTCATGTGCTAATTGCTGTCCATCTTTGGATTGGTTGTTTCACAGCTGATTCAAGTGGAGAGAATATAGGCAGCATTACATTAGTTCTTATCAGCCAGTCATTTGAATCGGTGAGTCCAGACTTTGATCTTATCGTCTTGATAGATGGGATTTTTGTCACAATTTACTGATAATTATTTCAGTATCTGTGGTATTATGGTCACCAACATTTCAGAATTGCTTGATCTTTTGTAGATTTTTCAAAACGAAAACTGCAGTGCAAATAGGTGACCGTTTTATAATCTGCCCCAATTCAACCTTTAAGAAATTGACTGAAGGTTTGTTTGGAAACACATTTGTGACTGTCTTAGATTTGGGTTGGTCAGTTACATAGAATGGTGGGCGGGGTATGTCATTGTAGGGGGACTAGTATAATTCAAGAGTGTAATACCTTTTGCAGTTCAATGAAGCTATCCAGACTGAATTTGCCACTGCTGTTGTCAATCAACTGAACATTTACTGCAAACTGGATGAAACCAACTGCTTGGTAGACTCAACAGCTGAATTCACGTAAGGTTCCATAATTCCAAACCACTTCACACAGAAGAGTGCGTAAAAGCAATTGGGCTATTTGCATACATAGGCGTGACAAATAGGTTAAAACGATGAAAGTGTGCACCTCAGCGCACCTCTGGCTGATGTCTGAACTTACAGTAGTCTCCTATTTGTTTTGTATATGTACACAAAGTTAAAGAGGTCCGTGGAGGTCAATTGTGTGTTGAACTATACTCGTGTATTTGTGGCATTTGGCTAATTAATAGTAGTATGTTACTATATCTTACCTCTTTTGAGAGTTGAAACAAAAGATATACTGGTTACAAGTGGTTGATAGAAATTAGTCTGCCACTAGCGCTGTGCTTTATGTATTTTTCAGAAAAAAAGGTCGCAGCCTTGACTGCTAAAACAGTGACTTCGTAAACGCCTTGAGCTTAGTTTGTACCGATGCAGTCATCTTGAATCATTTGACCGTTGAGCTTGCAGGGGATTGTGACCAGTGTCTGGTGTTCTTATAATAATTTTTTATCATCTCCTAGATTCAGTCCTTCATGATGATTATATTTTTGACGAGAATACACTGAATCCAAATACTTATAGGAGGATTCTAAATTTTCAACATTGTAAACAATTTCATTTTGTGCCTCAAGGAATATGAATCCATACTCCAGCCTATTTTTCTTCTCATATTTGAGTTTGCTTAATAGATTAATTTTTCAATTTGTATGTTCATTTTTAGACTGTTTAGAGTATTTGCAAACTGTAAAGTTTGATAAATAAAATTATTCCATTGAAGAATAAAAACTTGAAGAAAATTACTGAAGTTTGTGTTTCCACAAGTGAAGTTTTTAAACTTTTCTAAATATTATGTTTGTTGTTTTTCTTAACTGCTTTGGTCTGGCAGGTATAGAGAGATCCGTTTCACCAGTTTGCAGGATGTGGATGAGGGCCTACAGGTGACCTTCTGGGTCACTGACCCTAATGACCCCATGCGTCGGCAAGCTGGGTTGACCTCTTACCAGCTTCAGGTTGTGCTGGATGAGTACAAGGCAAATGTCGAGAATGGTATATACGAGTACAATTTTTCCTCAAGTCCTGGTTAAGTCCTCGTAAATTCCTCAAACGTCCATTATAAATTACAATTAAGTCCTCAGATATCTATCAAAAGTCTACATGTCTGTTACAAATCCTTGCAGATAAATCACATTACAGATTCCATTCAGAAGAACTATGACAGATGCGTTAATGTGTCATTGATCATCCCATGTTGCTTATGACTAGACTTGTATAATTACCTTGTGATGATTTGTGAGGGATTGCACTGATTTCTGTGTATGTATGTCATATACATGTATAATCAGTCTGTAGTGTCAATTCTTATCATTAGTGTAGATGAAAGGGGATGAAAATCATTGATTTGCTTGAAAATACCTCAGAATGGACCCCCTTCCACCAATGATAGTTTGCTATTAATGAGTGCATGCCCCCTCACCCCTCGGAAATCCTGCCCAAGACCAGTGTCAGTAGGTAGCAGAACCAAAACATTTTGTTCATGTATCATAAAAGTCCCCAATCCCTTCCTAAACTGATCCTGATCTGAACTCAGTAGATGGAATGCTGACAGTCAGGTCTGTCTGTCGTCCTCACAGGTGGACAGTTCCAGTTTGTGGTGCGGACTGAGTCCAATCCGCTGAGCGAGCCCTGGGTCATTGCACTCCTCTGCGTGCTGGGTCTCCTGGTGTTGCTACTGCTGGTTGTGATTGCTAGAGACCTGACTAGCCGGAGGTGAGTGTGGCAGATAATGATGAGATGTTAGCATGGAGGGGAGAGAGAATGTAAGATTCCCTAGGGCAAAATGACTTGAAGAAGGACCCGACTGGAAGAATGTGACTGCTGTGGTCAATGCACATGGTTT